TCTCTCCCTCTCTCCCTCTCTCCCTCTCTCTCTCCCTCTCTCTCTCTCTCTCTCTCTATCTCTCTCTCTCTCTCTCTCTCTCTCTCTCAATAAGGCTTGTGTTTGAAGTAGACGCAATATTTAATTAACTGATGCGAGGAAATGTTCACGTTTGTCAAGATGATCGAGCTATCATGAACACATTGCTATCCGCTGATAGCTTTGTGAACGGGAAAATGAGGTGCGTCTGGCAGATGAAGACCTATGTTTATTTCAGCGAAAGTGTATTGTGGGTGGATTTTGACTTTTGAAACCAGCTCATCTCTCATTTCCATGGTAACTTTCTAAATTCTCTTTCCACCTCGTGTTTTAAAATTTTTTCAACTACGCCTTCAGTCTTGATTGATTAGTGTTCGGTACTGTATGCAGTACTTTGGTTGATTTGAAATTGTTTAGCAAATATTAAGTAATCATTACCTTGCAGAAAAACTTTGTATAATATTCTCTGTTTATCCTCAAGACTGACTCTTTTTGTTTTTTGTTTTGCATGCTTAACATATTGCTCTGTTTTCCAAGAGAAATATGTTACAAATGATTGATTGGTTCAAACTGTTGATTCTAACAAAACGAGATTACAGTTAGATCTAGACAGCCAACGGCATATATCAAAGGGAAGAGACTCGTACAATAAACAACTAATGTTGCTGAGAGATAAAGTGGCTTTCCCCTAAAGCATAGATGATGGTTACATTATAATAGCTACAAGATAGAGTGGTTTCCCTAACTCATAGATGATGGTTACAACATAGCTTCGTAGTTTTCGTATTGTTGAATTTGAACTTTCCTATCCTGCATTGGAAAAGACCTAATGTTTACATTTGAGCTGGCATTTGCTTTTATGTTTTCCATTGTGTTGAATTTGAACTGTCTATATTGAATTCATTTGACAATTTTGACATTTGAACTTTCACTGCTGCATTTGAACTGTTTATCTTGATATCTTGTTGGGAAAAGGTGTACCGGTATTATTTTGTAAATGAGAAAAAATGCACATTGGCTATAACACAAGTGTTTCATCTTTCTCAGTCGAAGTTAACTCATGGGGCAGAAGAGGTGTGAAGCTTGCTGCCAAGTCTTGTTTAAACACAATGTTTAATTTATCATATTGTATGAGCTACATCCTATCAACTGATATGCAGTTTATCCTATAGTTTTGTTTTTTCATTGTGATTTTAGTTTTTGAAAGAGTTTTACAGCACTTGCAACATAATAAGATCATATAAGTGCCAAAGATTTAAAAGTGTTACAAGATAGTAAGAAACACCAAAAAACAAGGAGGAAAGATAAGGACGATAGTTGCTTGATAGGAAAGAAAGAGCAAAGTACACCAAAGCACCTGCCAACCACTCTCTGTTTTATTTTTTTTATTAAGGGAGATGCTTTTGAAATATTGTGTGTTCTTTAGTAGCTAAAACATCAATAATCTTAAAAAGTTGTCTCACATGCTCAAATGTCTCCTTTCCTTTTTAAGCATATAATTTGGTTCTGTCCAGTGTTAAAAAATTAATAAAAGCAGATGTTCTTCAGGCTAAGAAGAAATGACATCTTAATTTTTTAAAAACATGATTCAAAGTCTTGTTCGCCATCGTGCAGACTATTTTTTTTCGAGCACTTCTACATCTCACTTTAACACTTTGCAGTTACACAGCCTGCAGTACAAAATACCCCATCTGGTCACCCAGCCAGGAGAGTGGCTGATACTGACTTCTCGGGCTTGGCGCAAAAGTGCGCCAGGTGACCGGAATGGATAATTTTCATTGGCGCATTATAGTGGTAAGTGACCGCAAAGTGTTAAATGTTTCTCACACTGGTCAAATATTCTTCCTTACATCTGTGATATAGTGGTTGGACCCTTCACAGTCACATGCAGAAGGCACAAATTCGATTTCAGCGAGGGAAGGTAATTTATAGAGTCATTTCTATCTTGTGGCTGGAAGGCTGTATCCCTCTCAGTCCAGAATGGCTCTGACAGGTAAGGTCGAAACATTCCATCTCCTAAATGATCTGAATTGTGTTTATAATAAATAGGGGCATTAAATATTTATGATTATTTTCAATAATACTTCCTGCATCTGTCTGTCAGCTGTTCCTGTGGCGCAGCACTAGCCCTAGCTTGAAGCGTTGCCAGTTTGCCCTCCGGCGGCAACTGGCAGTCTTTGATGTGGCTTTGACCTCTTCGTGCATGGTGCTTTGCACACAACGTGGCGAAGCTTACATGGGCTACCTGTCCAACAAGAAGCTGAGCTCTGGCCTTGCCGGGAAGGAGCAGCTTAGCAAGGAGCACACAGTCAAAGGTAGACCTTACACTCTAAAATAAAAAAGGTTTTTATTATTTGTTGGCTTGTGTCTTTTGCTAGAGTAAGTGCCCGAAATTAGGAAGGTTTTGTACTAATAATTCCAGGCTCTTTTCAATAGTTTGTGCATTATACAGGGCTGCCTAAATTTACCAATTTTTCCGGTGGCTAAAGATTCTGGACCTGTTCTACGGCCGTACCAATAAAGGTGTCAAACCTATCGGTTTGTGATGGGTGCCAAGAATAAAAGGGGGAAAAAATGGCTGGATATAGATGGTGCGCAATGCTAACCGTGCAGGGCTGAATTTCGAAAAAACATTTTTTTTCTCAAATGAAATCTTATGGTATTACACGTGCCAGTAAAACCTCAAGTGTCAAAAATAAAGTTTTACATTAAAAATAAAACGTTTGTATATTAAACGTGAGTCCCAACTGCTGGTTCATCTTGGGCTGTGCGAAGCGTGTGGGGGTGTGTGCTTTTCGCGTTACTAGTCACAGCCGCATGGTCTTGCGATGCTAAACGTGTAAGTGATATCGAACTATAATACGTACTATAGTTCACTATGGTGTATGTGCACGCGCTATTCAGAGGCAGACGATTTGCAAAGCTGCCTCCCTCGATTGATTAAAATGGGGCTAGAAAAAGGACATTAATATATTATCAAATGCAAAATAAAGTAGTTCTGCGTCAAATCTTTTTCCTTTAATGAGTATATTTAATGTAGGGAGGATGTCTGCATCACTATGACTCTTAACTTTGCGGGTCCCATAGCCTCACTCACCTTGAGGAATCCCTTTGTTTTGATCTGATTATTAAATCAGCCTCCAAGTTCAACTTGAGTATAAATGTATACATTCCATAGTACTCTTCGACAAAGCATTTTTTATACCGGCATTTCAATTTGACATAGTAACTTTTAGAAGACATTTCAGTTACTGTACTTTAAATATTTTCATTATTTAGATTTATTGGAGTACCTCTATAGTTGCATGTAGTAATGAGAATCTTATTAATGAGAACCCACATTGGGCCTTTGTCTAGTGAAGGTGAACAGAGAGCAAGACGGATTCGAACAATTTCATATTTTGTCTTTTTATCTTGTGTCTTTTGTTGGGTTTGTAGGCGGGTAGAAAATGGAAACCCTCTTTTTTTGTGAGGAGGATCACATTCACGCACATCTATTCCTTTTTTAGTGTGTGTGTGTGTGTGTGTGTGTCTGTGTGTGTGTGTGGTGTGTATATGGGGGGGGGGGGGGGTAGGTTTGACGAGAGTTTGAGGAGAGGACAGTTTTTGTCACTTACTCCATTGCTTGTGTGCTTGTTTCAACTTGCATTGACTTAACTGTTTTAGTTGTAGTAAATTTTAGTTACATTACATACAGTCCTCATTTTTAATTGTATTTTATTTCTTCAGAATATTGTGGGGTTGAGTTAATAAACGACAATGTGTGTGTTTTTATTTTAAAAGTAAAATAATCCAGATCTTCGCGATTTTTTCAAACAGGCTAGTTGTTGTTGTTTGTTATTGTTGTTGTTTGTTTGTTGTAGTTAATGTTACTATTGTCTGGAAGTGAAAAGGTAAGTCTTTATTTTGTTTGATGTAGTGATGTAGTCTTCCAGTACTTTCAATTTTCAGTTTGAGTGCTTGTTTGGTTTGAAGGCTGTCTTCTGGGGTCTGGAGGTGGGATGCTTGCCTCTGGTCATTCCAAAGTTGCAGGTTCGAATCCCCCTCCAGGCCGAGGCCAACATACCACCACTCTCACTCAGACGCACACAACTCTCACTACAATACGCAATTAACAGAGCTCAACACCGGAAATCCAGCGCACAACTGCAATTTTAAAACAAACCCAGAAACCATAAACAAATTCCAAAACAACGAAAAACTCATCAAACCCTTCGGCCTCAGAATCCTTGAGGACCTCAAAAACTTACACTTTTCCAACAAATTCTTTTCCCCGACCTCCCTCCGTGGCACCTCACCAAGGCAAAAGTAGATTTACAGCTGACCACACACAACAAAGAAAGCACAAACACCAAAACTTTTAAAGCAGAATACAAAAAACTAATAGATAAATACCCCGGTGCGGAGCTCATCTTCCCAGATGGCTCCAAAAAAGACAATGAAGTGGGCGCCGCAGCCGTATCTTCCAACAATACACACCAGAGGAGACTCCATCCTGAAGCCTCCATTTTCTCTGCGGAGGCCACAGCCATTGACACTCCGTTGAAAACTCTCCTAACAAATCTTTCCTTATCCTTTCTGACTCTCTGTCTTGCATCACCTCACTCACAAACTACACACTCCTACATCCAAAAATAGTTTGGCTACAACAGAAAATTCATACACAATCCGAACCAGGAAAAAACATCATGTTCGCATGGCTACCTAGCCATGTGGGCATCCGAGGAAACGAGCAGGTAGACGACTTGGCGAAGAAAGCCTCATCCCTTCTGCTGGGATCAACGACAAATACTCTCTCTCAGACTGACTTTAGAAATAAAATAAAAAAGTACACCTCCAGTCTGTGGGAGAGCCACTGGGAAAAACAGAAAAACAATAAACTATATGTTATAAAACCCAAACTAGAACAGCGAAATCCTTCGGACCTCTCCAGAAGAGACGAAGTCATTTTTACTCGATTGCGCATCGGACACACGGCCCTGACTCACAAATACCTTCTACAGGGAGATGAGAAGCCGTTCTGTGTCGGATGCGACACAGGTTTTACCATTAGACACATCTTAACCGAATGTCTAGACTTTGGAGAGATCCGAAGGAAATATTATAAATGCAAGAAATTGCAAGACATATTTTCCGTCGTTGGTCCCAGCAAAATTTTGAATTTTACGAAGGCCATTGGCCTTTATGCCAAATTTTAAAGTAAAATTGTACTATTTAAAATTTTTATTGTTAACTAGAAAATTTGTTTTAGATTGAAAATATATGTATATTTACTCTGATTTTTAAACATTTTAAGATTTAACTACTGACCCGAGCCAGCCGTACAGTGAACTGTTGTGAACAAGACCAACTTGTGTTTCGCGCGCACATATGACCGTATGCAGTTGCGAGCGCTGTAAAACCCTCTCATATTTCTAAAACCTCTGATCTCAAGGAATGTGGGTTCAAGCACCTCATCTTTCATTTAAGAATGAAAAACTTCAAGGGCTCGTATGCACATTGTCCACGTTGTAGATACCAGTCCAATTGCAAATCGAGGCAAAGTAGGCCTACTAATGCTAACCTGAGCCTAATTCAAAATTAATTCCATTTAACGTTTTGGGGGGAAAAGAGCCGACAGGTGCTGCTCTCATGGTGACCGAGTGTCAGCTCACGAAGTATGGTAATGATATACCATCAGCAATTTTAACTATTTTAGGAAGTCTTTAAATTGCTGAGACATATAATCTCTATAATATGGCGTTTAAAAAAGCACCACTGAAGCACTCAAAACAAATGTTGTCCAATAGCCTACAATCAGAAACCTTCAGTTTATATAACAGAATCAGAGCAAAAACAAAGCTATCAGAATTTTATTATATTTGTATTTCTTCCCTGTGTACTGGTACCAGAGTTCGTTATTTGTTGATATAATGATACGGTATTTAAAGATGACCAACGATTTCCACTCATTGTTACAAGCTAGCCTCAAAGTCAAAGTTCGATAAATCCTTAGTAGGAATCCAGGTAAGCTTTGTTGACAGGCATTGCTTCTAAAATGACCAACCTTGCATTTAATGAGTTTAACCAAAGAGTCTACATAACAAGAGGGGCCACTTCTCTCTTTGAGCCAATTAAAAAAGTGTCCTCAAAATTTGGTGGCGCCCTCTTCGCGAACAGAGTTACCCTACTTGAGTTTTTAAAAATCAAAGTGAAACTAGCAAGTTTTGGGATAAATTTCGGAAGAACGCTTTTTTAAAATGGTTACGCTGACAAAAAACCTCTTCCGGAGGAAAGGGTGATGGTTTTCTTCGTTTAATTTGACTTTAGAATGAAAGGCGAGAGGTCATTCAAATAAAAAAAACCTCAAACTCCGCACTGAACGTACCCGAACTGCTGATGAACAGCAGTCGATATGCGCACGCAAGGAGGTGCTATTCCTATTCTTCTTCTGGAAAAACGAAAGAGAGCTTCAAAACAGACTGCAGCGCCATCTGAAGCAAAGAGCATACTTCCTGCGGACACTTTTTTGGCTGAGTGGCCCATCTTGTTATTTACTATCTTTGGTTTAACCTAACCCCCCCCCAAAAACCCCCCACAAAAAAACAAACACAAAAAACAAAAACAAAACAGAAATGCAATTTAGATTAAGACAAAGAGAGGGGAAAACGAAAATGTTATTTTTCCCTTGCACTGTCATTTGTTCAGAATAAATAATACTATTTGCTACTTCTTAAGCTAATCAAAGTAGCCTAGAGTATACAATGAGCTACTAAATTCAAAATGATCGTAGTCATTAAAAGGTTAAAAACCTGCATATCTAATGTTTTAAATAAAAAAAAAAATCTAGTTGCATGCCAGCCCCAATCTTTTAACTTTCAGTCTTCTGAATGGAATAGCCTGATCTTTTTAGATCTGGCAGCGACCCAATCCACAATTTTGATAAAAGACAACACTCATGGGATAGTATTGCCCAGTCCCCATTGAAAAACCCCCCAACCCCAACAATAAACAGGTTAAAACAAAAAACAGGGGGTAGATCTAGATCTAAACGAGAATGAAAAAACAATTTAAAAGTGAGCAGGATAGAGATTTTAATGGTTGGTATCAGCACAGAGAAATATTACAATTAGACTCTACCAGTACTACAACCACTGCTCAAGGTCATGTTGTGTAGGACTACCACTGTTGTTGTGTGTACTGTGTGTAAAATACACTTAACAAAGTCACCAGGCCACTGACACTAATTATACTAGACACGTGAAAGTTTCGGTATCTCTTGTTTCCAAGCTTGTTGTGACACCAGAGTGTGCATGGGAAGACAGTGCACTTGCGCCTCCCATGGTTCGCACGCGCTGTCATGGGCTGTATTGGGCAATGTTATCTGTGCAGGGATCATGGGCTGGGCTAAGCATGTAGGGGAAGCGCAAGATGCAAGATCAAGGAATGCTTTCCGTGTTGTAAGGGCTTACTAAACACCTATTTTCTTGATATGGAAAACACAAACACTGCCATTGTGTGTATTATCTGATAAAAATTCCCATATTTTGAAACTGTTACTCTGCTAAAACACGTTTTGAAATAAATTAGTTTTTTCTCTCTCCTGAAAAATTTGCTAAAAATGCCTATCGTGGGCTGTCGATATAGTGTTTCTAATCTTCCCTGTTTTTATGAAAATCCGTATACTCCAAAAGTTGCAACAACATCAATATCAGATCAATCAGTGAAAGGGGGGGGGGGGGGGAAGAAGAGAGAGAGAGAGAGAGAGAGAGAGAGAGAGAGAGAGAGAGAGAGAGAGAGAGAGAGAGAGAGAGAGAGAGAGAGAGAGAGAGAGAGAGAGAGAGAGAGAGAGAGAGAGAGAGAGCATATCATATTTTTCTTTACAAATTAAGTAACTTTGCATGCTCTCCACCCTATAAACAAAAGTTTGCTTTACCCAAAGCAGACCTGCCACTCATCCCGATTTAATCAGGATATCTCAATTTTTGCCAAATCTCAAGCATACTGATTTTCCCGAATTTGATCGCGTGCATCCTGATTTTGGTGTTCCGTCTGTTGCGCCGGATTTTTCTAAAAACATACTCTGCCTTCATCTCTGTCACGGGAAGCACCCAGTAAGGGTAGCATTGGTGGCCCAGTGGTTAGGCTACTGGACCCGTTATCGTATAGATTGCGAGTTCTGGGGTTCGCACGTAGCTCTGTCCGATGATGTGTCCTTGGGAAAGGCAGTTTTCACGAATTTCCTGTTTGGCTTGGCCATTTCAGAGATGGACATAAAGCTCGGAGGACCTGCCTCTTAAATAACCCAATAGTGTTGACAGGGGCGTTAAACCTATACAATTCCGTCTGTCTTATACCATTTGCACTCGTTAAACTTTATGTCAGTAGGAATTGAAGCATTATTTTCCAAGTTGTGTTTGATCTTTGTTCGCGCGTGTTATTCTAACTGTAATGGAAGTAGTATCGATATTTGGCATTCTGACTTGGGACATTCTCAAGATCTACTTTAGTTTTTGTTTCTACTGAGAATTCTATGATGATGGTCTCATAACTGTTCCAATTGTGACATTCAATGATTATTTATAGTTCTGCTGTTTCTTTCAAAACAAGCTTTGTCCGAGTTCTGGTTAGTCGGGCCCGTCATCAAGATCTGTCAGTAAACTGTTTGAATCGCGCGTTCGCATCACATCTCATGACTTCAGCGTGTGAGTTTCATGTGTCATGAGGACCGTCTGTTGGTCGGTCAACTTAAAAATTCATGTACACTAGTTGAAGCATCTTTTGGGACTTTGGGAAGGGGGGGGGGGGGGGGGTGTTTAGACACTTGGACTAGGAATGCTTGACGTGATACTTCAGGATTTAAAAATTAATAAAACGCACGCACGCACACACACACACACAGTGATTTGTCCTTGATCTCGATTTTTTTTCACCAAATCCGGATTTTTTCCCCCTGAGGTCCTAATTTTTAAATTTCATAGAGTGGCGGGTCTGCAATGAAAATGTTTTTTGATGCCCTGTAACCAATAGAAAAACACATTGTTCTTCGCAAAATAAAATTTTGCTCTTCTTTAATTAAAATAAAATATCTACTAATAACGATTTCTGTGAATAACTTCAGCAACATGCATAGATATACATGTAAAATTGTTTGTCCATGTAGGCAGTGAAGACCATCCTGAGTCAGATGTTAGTGTGCTGATGACTCGTCAGGATGTTGATGTGAAACGAATTTCTGGAAACGGACATATAAATGGTCTTTTTGTTGTATTGCCCTTCCCAGAGTTTGGTGACGGTTGTGCTCAGACCCGCTTGTTGGATTTGTTGTTAAAAGATGAAGTGGAGGAGTTGCAGGTGCGGCGCCTGCCAGTTATCCACCGAGCTGTTGCAGTGGCTGCTGACCGGAAAGGAGGCAATTTTGCTGTGCTTCAGGCTCTTCCAAATGGATGGTAGGTCTATATGTTGCTGTCTTCCTTAATAAACTTTGTTTGATCAGTGGTTTGAAGATAGCTTTTTATGCAATGAGCCCAAAGTCTTTATAAAGGGCATAACTTTTTATCCCAGAGTTTATGAGTTGACAGAGTATTTCGAACTGCTTGTTATTAGTTTAATTAAGCTGATCTTCTTGTCCTTTTCATACATGTGACACAAGTTATTGATACAGCAGTTTCCGCCTTAGATCCTGGTGCTCGGGAGCAAGGAAAATGCGGGACCTTTGGCGAACAGGATCATTGCCGATGCACCAAGGGTAAAATCTACAGTGACCCGTATTTAGGCACAAAACTGGTAAAATGGTTTCCCTTCACTCTACTTGAGATATCTCAAAAACTAAAAAAACCACTGTGTTCAGCATTGAATGTCCTGTTAGAACAATTCTTAACTCAAAATGGTTTAAATCCAACTTTTGGTACTTGTCTTTAGGCACACACACATTTATCGGGGACACGTATCATGCCATTTACTATTCATTAAACAACTAAAACAAAAATTGAAATTTTTGTATTTAGCCGGTTTGTGCATGACACCGAAGATGTGACATTCAGGCTTAACGTATATTCAGACCTCCTGCAAATGTTCTTCAATCTGAGGAGTTATTATTTTAGCTTTTTAAGCTCAGTCTGCATAAATGGAACTTTCTTGTGCATTCAACGAATTGGAGTCATATGTGAGGCATCCTGATGAAAGCAGACGCTCATCAAAATAATGAAATCCCCCCTGTGGGTCGGGGGGGTATATAAATAGACCCACTACCTCGTCTGTAGGAGGTGTAACCCCTTTAATGACGAAGTGTCACACATGGACCCCAACCCCCTGGGATCCGGAAGCGACACCGACTTTGGTGTATCTTCCTCTTCTCCTTCCTTCTTTCTTACTTGTTCTATCTCTTCTTCCACCGCCGACCTCATGTGGAGCAAAACTAGAGGTCACCCATCCCACAGAGTGGGCGCCTCGTTGACCGTGAGGTGTGACCCGTTCGGAGGGCAATCGGGTACCTGATGGTTGAGGTCAGATCAGTCTGCGGACTGTCTCTCGCTGACACACTTCTTTGGCCCATGTTTTCCTCTTAGACAGGAGGGTGGCACAGCCCATGCCACTCAATCGGTTGGGAGGTGAAACCCCTTAAGGCCCTGGATCAATCTTGACGGGAGGGTCTTGCACACTCTCGGAAAGAGTATAACTGCGGAGTAGCCCTGGCACAGCTCCGGCTATCCGATCGATGTGCCCCCTTGTTTTGCTTGATGGCGGGTGGAGAGAAACGGAGCTGAACCATCTACAAATCTTCTATGGAATCACAAAACCCCAAAACCCTTCCCCAGCTCCCAACGTCAAGAAGTTTTGGCTCGCAGAAGCGGGTGCCGCCGCCGGGCCAAGCAAATCATCTATCACTTCTGGAAAAAGGACCTTTATGGTTGCCTCTTCCCTCCCTCTTCCCAGGGAACTTCTGAAGCAGCCATACTTGACCATCCGCAGAACTGATGTGCAGAAAAAGATCACAGGTCTCAACCTATTTAAGACGGGAGAAGCACTAAGACAAGTTCTGGCACCCCCAGTGGGTCGGGGGGATATAAATAGACCCACTGCTTCGTCTGCAGAAGGTGCAACCCCCTCAAAGGCGGAGTGTCGCACACGGACCCCAACCCTCTGGGATCCGTATGCGACACTCACTTTGGTGTATCTTCCTCTTCTCCTTCCTTCTTTCTTTCTTCTTCTATCTTTTCTCCCACCGCTGACCTCATGTGCAGCAAAAAGAGAGGTCACCCATCCCACAGAGTGGGCACCTCGTTGACCGTGAGGTGCGACCCGTGTGGAGGGAAACCGAGTACCTGGCGGTTGAGGTGAGATCAGTCCACGGACTGTCCCTCGCCAACACCCCTCTTTGGCCCAGGTTTTCCTCTTAGACGGGAGGGTGGCACGGCCCATGCCACTCAATCGGTTGAGAGCTGAAACCCCATCAAGCCCTGGGTCAATCTTGACGGGAGGGTCTTGTACTTTCTCGTTGAGAGTATAGCTC